AAACGGCGGGGGAAACCACAAAACGATACCCCAGCTTCAAGACCTCTGCAACCTGCTCCTTCCACTACTACTACTACTACTACTACTACTACTACTACTACTGCTACTGCTACTGCTTCTGCTACTACTACTACTACTACTACGACGACGACGACGACTACTACTGCTACTGCTACTGCTACTACTACTACTACTACTACTACTACTCCTGGTCCTACTCCTGCTACTACGTCGTTAACCGTCCATCTATCCTGGCGAACATAAGTTTGATGTGAAGAGACTGCACATGCAACGCTTGTCATCAATTCCTTCGTTGCATGCCGACCCGCAGCGACCCTCAAGGCGAACGCGTTTCAGCCCTAAGCCCTAAACCCCCCAAACCCTAAACCCTAAACCCTAAACCCAAACCCAAACCCTATACCTTCCCCAGTAACGGGCCTTTGCCAGTTTTGTTTCATCAAACGTTATAAGTTGTAACTTCCCGCCCAACCCAAACCAAATCCTAATCCCAATCCCAACAAACCACAAGCCCTAAACCAAATCCTAAGCTCAAGAACACCCCAAGAAACGCTCAGTCAGTTTAGGGGTTCCGGGATCATATCTTAAACTCAAAACACAAGCCCTAAAGCCCCAAGAATAGGGTTTAGGGTTTAGGGCTTAAGACCCCAAGAAACCACCGCAGCCGTTGAGGTTGTTCGCAGTCTTCCCGCCGGCCCACGAGACCAAAACTCTTGAGGTCAGGGTTTAGGGTTTAAGGTTTAGAGTTTGGGGTTTAGGGTTTAGGGTTTAGGGTCGGAGATGTGCGCCAAAACGTGGACAATTCTTATCTAGGGGTCCTTAATAATTACATGTTGATACTATTTTGGGGGTTCCTTATTACATTATAGTATAATGGGCCCCAAAGCCCTATTCTGATTATTGAGGCCCCTACATGAGGGCTTTATTGGGTTCTGGAGTGCCGTACTGTATTACCCTAAACCCTAAACCCTAAACCCTAAACCGTGACCTGTTCCTTAAAGGACCCATTATGAAGAAGGTCATGCTTTGTCTCGGATTACTTCAAAGCCCAGTTTAGGGTTTGGGGCTCAGTGTTTAGGGCTTAGTTTAGGCTTTAGGGCGTACTTTCAGCTTGAAAGTGAAGGGTTCAGTTTAGGGTTCAGGAAGGTTTGGGGTGGAGGTTAGGATTTCGGGGCCTCTTTAGGGCTTAAGTTAAGTTTAGCGAACATGTCCTAAACCCTAAACCCTAAACCGTTACCTCAAATCAAAGGGCAATCCTAATCCGTAGATCGGTGTTGGTGGGGTCTCTGGGATCATGGTTGCCTTGGGTCTAGAGGTTTGGCCAGTAAGGCTTAGTGTTACGGGGTATAGTAGGCCTTCTAGTAGAACAGCCAGCCGTTGTGGTAACCCTTTTCATCACTCATCTCTCCCCTGAGCGGAACCTTACACCCTAAACCCTAAGGGTCTTAAGTTCCTACACTTTAGAAAGTCGGATGTGGATAATGGGAATTGGTATTATGGTTTGGGGAAGAATGCCCCATAATTATACGCAGTTTCGGACCCTTTTGGGAACCCCAATGCAGCTGCGACTGTTCTCAGATGGCTTGATTTGAGACATTTCGGTGTTGATTCGCTGGGGCTCCTGTTCTGTGAAACGAAGTCCTTTCTCCACTCGCAGATCCCACCTAAACCCCAAACCCTAAACCTTAAACCTTAAATCCTAAACCCGCAACCCTAAAGGGTTTAGGGTTTAGACAAGCGAGAGAATCAGCAGCGGTAGAAGCACAAATGATGCGCGCATTATGCAAAGAGTAGTTAGCAACAGTTTTGTTTGCAAGACATGCGTGTGTATGTATATATATATATATATCTATGAAAATATTTTTATTGATTTATTTACTTATTTATATTTAAAAACACACATCAGGTACAATATCAGAAATACAACACCGTAGCAGCCAGGACCAAAGCAAGCGATCGCAGAAAGGAAAGGTAGTGTGTGGAAGCAGGAAGCAGAAGGCCCTAAACCCTAAACCCT